CTGAACCAAAAGCTGCTCTCAGAAAACCTTTATCCAATTTAGCAGTTTGCCCTCCAAGACATGGGAAACTGAAGTTCTACACGAGGGTGCTTGAGCCACTACCTGGAGAACATTCCATATAGTAGATGTTACACTGTTTTGAAACAAGCTATTAAACTGAGAGACTACAACCATGAACAGAATCCCCATGTTCCTTTCCCAAGGTAACATCCCTAGGTGTGTAACTGTTTGTATTACAGTTGTCACAGTAATGTCCCAGGTGACTGGTGTCAAGAGACCTGGATACCTGTGTTTATTCTCCAGAATTCAATCTTTATCCACTCAGTGGTCTTAACTGAGGTGCTACAAAGCAGGAAAAAAAAAATCCCCATAGAATATTATGAGTTTTTTATTGAGATGCATCATTTTCTGCCTGGCAATTTTTTACAAAGGTTAACCATGAGGTAACATATGAATGCCAATAATCACTCGGGCTTATAAATTAGAAAAGGAAATTGTTATAAAAAGATGAGGATAAGAATGAATTAGTTGGAAAAGTGTATTTTTATAAATCATTAAATAAAGAATCTGGAGAAAAAACTCATATTTTATAAGGTTATCCTTGTTTATAATACAGAAATGCAAAATTATGTCACTGTCAAGGATATACTAGAAATTAACTGATTTACCTAAACACATTTTCTAGCAGAACCGTTGTTTTGCAAGATTATGAATCTTCCACCTTCTATCAAGACAGGGCCGTTGGAGATGATCCAAACTTTATGAGCCATGGGTTAAAAAAATTTATCTCTTCCTTTAAAAACAAAACAAAAAAAAGAAAGAAAAAAAAAGATCATGAACTATTAGCATTTTATACTTCCTCCTTGTCATGCTCGACTTCATGAAGATAAGGGATGGCTTTTCAGGATTTCCTATTTCTTCTAATCTTGGACTACTTCCCCAGGGAAAAAGAAAACAAATCAGCTTTAGAGAAAGCCACAAGCTGAACATTACGACCTACAGGCAACATGTAATTAAAAAGTTAACAGTGAGAGAGAAAGGGAAGATGAATTTTAATGCTTTCCACGGGTTCCTGTTATCCTGGGGCCTTGCAAACTGAGTAGCACTGATGGTAAACTCTCTTGACTTGCATTTAGCAAGGCAGGCCATTCCATACAGCCAGGGATGAGGAAAGTGCAGAGCAGCTTTTGGTGAAGTGTGGTGCAGTGCAAAGTTCTCTGTGCCTGCAGGGGACTGACAGGGGTTTGACCTTCTGTGTGTCACAGGGAGCCCCTCACCTGGCACTGGAGATCCACCTCTCTTGAGCTTAATGTGTTGGATAGAAGTTGAAGTTCTACACTCTGAACAAAGCTCTCAAGTGAAAAGAGAAAAACAGTGGAAAGGTGAGGTTTTATGTCAAGATCCGGGTTTTAACAACTGAGAGAAAGCGTAAGAAGAAATAAAAAATACTGCATTATTGTGGAGATCCAGTAAGTGTCTTGGAAATGTCACCTTGTGCATCCTGTCATTTAATCTGATCTTATTTCTTTCAGGGCACAAAAAAGGAGTGACAAACTGCATGCAAGGTTTTCCTTTAAAAAGTTCCATTCAATTTCTAACTCTTCTACTTTTTCCCTGAAGACTGGTTGCTGTAGGTAAGAATACACATGTGTTTTTAGATGAAAAGCCTTGTGACTGAAAATCAGCCACTGATTATCTCTATATAATTGGTGCTTCAGCCAGTAAATGAATGCTTCAGGAATAAAGATGCCTTGAAGAAACCCTGTGTCTTTCAGGCAGCCCTTTCTCTCTATGGATTATAAAAAAACCCAGGCATTTTTGTAGTGTACATTTTTAATTCACACCATAATTAGCAAGTAAATAATGCATAGATTAAAATACTCATTTAGAGAAATTACAAAATATTTTATTAAAACCAAAGTAATGACTGAGAGGAATTTTCCACCATGAAAGTGATATCATAAGGAGTATTACTGGGTTTTGCTACACAAACCTACAGTCCTACTCTGAACCTACATCCCTACTCTGCACCTCTTTGACTTTGCTGGTTTTCTGTCCCAAAGGACAGAGGTGTTTTCTAGATGCAACACAAGAGCTGGGCTGCCCCAAAGTCAGTGCACCAGATGAGACCACTCCTTTTGCTACCACCTGCCTTGCCTACACTGCAGCAGCACCCTGGGAGCCTGGGATGGGGCTGGTGCATCCAGGGACGGGACAGGTGAAAGGGCTCAGCCAAGCAGTTCACAGTTTTCCAAGGCAGGAATGCTGCAGGCAGCTCACCCTCTGGCAACAGTGCTGCACTTCCATCTCCTCTCATCACGCACTGCATGTGGCCATACAGCCTGACAGCATCTCACCAGCTCCTGCTTGGAAAAGGCCCAGAAACACCATTCAAAACTAATGGAAATGTGTGTCTTGCACAGGAAAAGCTCAGGGAGCAGCACCAGCAGCCCCTGAGACAGTTTGATGGTTGTGTGTTCAGAAAATGATTCTCTGGTTACCAATGTTTAATTTTATAAACCTAAAAGTAGCACCATTGATTATATAAGAATTACTCATGCACACATAAATAAAAGCTTGCTGGACCAAACATTTAAGTGTGTGTTTTTATGTTTATGTAAATATTTCTTTATCAGACAGGATTTGTATTCTGATCTTGCTCAACAAACATCTGAAATCATTACTCTCATAGAAACATAAGTGAAAAGCCTGGCGTCTAATCAAGAGAGCCTAGGCAATGGGTTAAATCTAATCTTCAGAAGGTGACTTTTTTCTTCAGTAGTTGTATTTTTTTCTGTATAAGCCTGCTGTGTGGATTCAGGTGAAACTCCAGGGCACTATTTTAAAGTGGGGTCTCTGATGTGGGAATCTTAATTCTTCATACAGTTGACCTCTGATTTAAGAAGTGCTGGAGTGTTACTGGCTAATCAATATCTGGCTTGGCTGCTCCGCTTCAATTTTCTCTTCTGAAAACTATTTATCTCTCAAGGGTGAAATGAAACTTCGTAAGTGTCTAGTGTGGGCTTTTGAGCAATTTAAAAGGTGCAAAGTTTTACTAGGCAGGATGCTAGGAAATGATGGTTTTTTAGTGAAATTTTTCTGCATATTTGAAAAGGTGAAATCGGAGCCTTTGCTGCACAGAGCAAAAAAATTCCTATCCATCCATTTCATCCACTAAAATACAAACATCTTAGAGTGAAAAATACAAACTGCAGGTTCAAATCACTTGCATATTGCTTCCAAGTTTTGTCTGGTGAAACAGTATCATAACAGCAAATGTAGAACAGATAGCGCCAAGCAGCTTTATGTAACACAACTGCAAGCCATGGAAACAGGCTTGCAGAAAGTGCAACTCATAGTGGAATTTGGCAGGGACAGAGCGACAAGTATTCTTGCACTTCAGAGTAATGGCATATGAATTTTAGTGTGTAGTGGTCAGGACCCTGTTCTACATCTGATGATAAAAGAGGAGCACGAATATTGAGTGTATCAGTTCAGCTTCTGGCTTAAGGCCACTCTCCAGGCAATGTGCCACAGCTATGAAATCACTCTGTTATTTTAGACTTCATATTAGATGAATAGGGTAGTGCAAGCTGTTTGAAACTCAGCTTTGATGTATTTAAATGTTTTGAAATAATGCCTAGCATTTAATACCGAGTTTTGCTAACATTAGCTTTCCTAAGTGCCTGATAAAAATAGTCTTATTCCCTGCTGTTAAACGCTATTTTTCTAATTAAATGCAGATGCTTAAACCATCAGCATTCACCACAAGATTCCCTTGCTCAGACATTAGATCATCCATCTTAAATCTTGAATTACATTCTAAATATCTATATGAACACTAACAACTATAGCAGATACTATTACGATTCGTTGCTAAAAATCCTAATTCCCTGGGAACAAACAGGAGCGGCAGGAATGGTGCTCTTCACTCACAGAAACACTTCTCTTTAATTCAGTGTCAAAATTGTCACTGACTTCAGTGACAACTGTATTTGGTCAGAAATGCCCAGGTCTTTACCGCTTAAAATAATCTCCTTTAGTTCTTAGTCACAAAGGCGCAGAAGCTGCAGACTTGTATAGGTGTGTCCAATGTTTGGCGCTGAGAGCCGTTTTGTTTCCACAAGCAGCAGTTGTTTTCAGAGCAAAATCACAGATTTGTCAAGGCTGGGAAGAACCCCTGGATATCACCCAGCCCAACCTCCTGCCAAGGCAGGGTCACCCAGGGCAGGTGACACAGGAACGCGCCCAGGTGGGAAAATTTCTTCCAGTGGAAGATTTCAGAGAGATCACTGCCTGATATCAGCACGTTATACACCCGAGTGTAAACAAGAGCAGCTCATGACAATGCTGCCAGCAGCAGATCCCCCAGCACCTGTCCCCTGCATTGGGAGACCCACACACCGTGCACCTGGGCTTTAACTTTAAAGCAATGATTAACCGCTCTCTTTTCAAAGTCTTTATTCCAACGTGCGTACGCTTTGCACTTTCTGCAAAGGAAGATAAAACAAGTTGCGAAGTAGCTTCCCGGGGGTAGAACAGGGGGCCCTCACAGGCTGAAGCCCCGGCTGAAGGAGCTGAGCCCTGCCGGGCTGCGGCCAGAGCCCGTGTGGGGAGCTGGAATTTTGCCCGAGGGTCACTCTGGCGCACGCACGGCTCTTGTGCCCGAGGAGCCGCACCTCAGGGCGGCGGAGCGGCCGGACCACGGCAGCCCAGGCCCGGGGCAGGTCACGGCGGCTCCCCCCTCGCGGCTCCACCGCTCACACCGACCCCTCTCCCCGCCCCGCCACGTCACTTCCCGGGGCGGCCGCAGCCGCCGAGTGTCAGCGGCCGTGCTGTGATGGCGGCGGCAGCCGCGGCTCGGGGCGCCGGCGGGGCTGTGCCGCTCCTGACTCGGCGTGGGCCCCGCGCCATGGGGAGCAGCCGCGGCAGGCGGCTCGCCTGAGGCGGCGGCGACAGCGGAGGGAGGGCGCGGCGCTGCCGAGGGAGCCCCGCCGCGGGGGCCGCGACCCGCGCCGCCGGGGATGCTGCGCTGGGTCCGGCAGCAGCTGGTAGGTGCCTCCCTGCAGCCCCCGGGCCGGGCGGGCTCTCGGCTCGGCCCCGTCCCGACGGCGCTGCCCGAGCCGCGGGGGAGCAGGGCCAGGGTACGGAGAGGGAGGAGAGTCCTTTCCCCCGCAGGGGCTGGGGAGACCCGCAGGCTGTACTTGGATCGTTATGGACGGGTTTTTAAATTTTATTTTTAACGCGTATCCGAGGGTTGGGGCGTTTCGGGTTTTTGGCTTTTGGTTGGGTTTTTTTGTGGTTTGTTTTTTTTGTTTGTTTTTTTTCCTGGAAACCCCCTTTGGCACAGAGGATAGTGCATTCCCTTTCGTGTGGCCCCCGTTGGGAAGGGCTCCCCAAACTTCTTGGAGAAATGACGGTGCCTTTTTCCCTGGACCGACACTTCAGAGATTCGCAGCTTCTTCCTCCTTCCCGTTGCGAAATGTTTTAAGGCTTTTTCCCCCGACATGCGTCTCTTTCAAATATTTCCCCGTACCTGAGCAGCCGCTGCGGATTTGAAAGTGAAAGAAATGGAAAGACAACATCTGTGAAATGCTTTTGGCGGGGGAAACCACTTGGAAAAGGCGGCAGTGAGGGTGCCGGACCCCGCACACAGGCGCTGCTTGCTCTGCTGGGTTAGAGCGGGCAGGGGAAACCAGGCGGCCGTGGCTGTCACGTCTGTGCTGCAGGGAAATACATCGAATTTCACTATTTTGATTTGAAGTATTGGCCGGCTTCCTGCCCCGACCAGCATTATGCTACTTGCATTTTCTCTAAGGGAGAAATTCTTTCTAAATTATGTACTTGTGAAATAACTTCCATTCATTGGAGTTACTTTACATCACGGATGTTGTCCAGGTTAGTGCAAGATCTTACATTAGTTAGGTTTTCAGATTTTTATTGTTAAAGCTTCTGTCTCGCTAGTGATTTGTTTAATTTGTTGCATCGCTTTTTACCAAAAAAAAAAGATTAAAATTTTTGGGTTTTCTTTTTTGCTTCTGTTCTTCCCTGACCTCGTTTCCCATGGCCCATAGATTTTCCCAGTTCTGTGTCTGAGGCAGAGAGCTTGTGGTGATGGTCTCAGTGCCAGCTTGACAGTGCTCAGTAGTTTGGTCTGACACCAAGAGTTACTGACCTGGAAATTAATTGATCTGTTTGAGCTCTAACTGCACTCTTCTGTTCTGTTACAGTCGTACACACGTTTTTTAAAAAAAAAAAAAAAAACTGTTTGGTGTAACATAGCTGTCATTTTTTCCACTTGAAGGTGGCTTGAGGTTGGTGTGTGTGGTTTTTAAAGCAGTGTTATGCTGTCTTCTGTAGAGTTTAGATTAGGACTATATCAGTGCTAGCAATTCATTTATCAGACATGGTTGCTTTTTTCACTGCAAGTAGTACACTGACCGGCTTTCCAGAAATCTGTTTGCTCTTAATAGAAAGTAAAAGATTAGTGTAACAGGATGAGCAATAAACTTGGCACTAGGAGATTTTAGTGCTTCTTAAAGAAAACTGATGGAAAATGACTGTTTAAAACTTGCACTAGTTTTGACAGGGAAGAATTAGTTGTAGTAGAAAAGCAGGACAATAAAAAGTCAAGACTCCTGACAGACATCTAGATATGGTATGATGAGAAAAAATTATTGCAGTGATACGTGTTTTGTGTTTTTTTTTCCTATAGACGTCACATATGTTAATGGCTTAGTTGTTTCACAGCTCATAAAGATGAAAAATGGCCTAAGATAGGTATCAGAATGCATGTTTCTTCGTAAAGACACTCAGACAACTCATCCCCGTGTGTAATTGCTGGTTTAACATAGATCTCACCATATGTTTTCTTCTTCACATGGCTGTGATGTTTAGGTTCTGAAAGAATGTCAGAGGGCTAAAAACACGGGGAAGGATGCTGACAAAATAACCAGAATGAGTGGGAAGAGTGGGGTGACAGAAATATTTGAATCAAAAGGTGCCAAAATCTGTGTCTGAGAGGAGAAGAGAGGAATGCGTGGGTTTGGATGCCTTTGGAGCGTGCGTTTGTACCTGTGCTTGATGTGGCAACGGGTTTTAGAAAAGGGTCGTCATCCGTACAGGAGGGCTGGAATCAGGCAAATGTGTGGGAGTGATGCAAGTGGGATGTTGTAGTAATACAAAAGAAAAACGTTGGTGTGCAGAAATGCTGGAAAAATAGTACGGGATTGGGAGAGGGGGAGGGACTGGTACTTTGCTGAAGGTGCTTTTAGGTAATCATTAAGTACTCTCTGTATGAAACCAATGAATTGTTTTGCAACTTCTTGTTTGCTTAAGAGAACAGTATTTCATATACTGAGTGCTCATGAGTGTATATGGTTTTGAGAACTTGCATTTTTAAGAGGGGGGGAGAATGAAGCAGGTGAACTTAAAGTAATGAGAGGACCTGGTATGGAATTCAGACTATTTTAGCTAAGTTTTGAAAGTGGTGACTTTGCTGCGCTTTCTCTGTGAAGACCTATGCGTGCCTGTAGGGCTACAGAAAGGGGTAGAAAGGCATGAGCAGGCCTCTGAGGAGACATGCTGAGAATGTAAGACTTCCTCCATTCTTATTATCGTCTTACAAGTCTGTAACAGTTTTTTAACTGAGGTGTTAGATGTCTTTTAGTGATTTTTTTTTTTGTATCTAAGGAATTTGTGACAGTAGTGCAGCCTTCAGTGCCTATGTGGCACAAATCATCAGGCCGTTTTGTGTATTGGCCTTCAGTCTGGTTTTCTTGCTCCAAAACAATTCACACCACCCTACAGAGATAGATGGAGAAAAACTGATACACTAATGCTGCCTCATGCTAAATAAGCTGCATAGTAAGTCATTAACTTTCTAGTTAATGTGATGTTACAGTATGTAGTTAATAGTTGGAAGTACTTAAGTTTTAGTAAAGAAAAAATATAAAGGCAAATGGAGTTATAATTCTTGGCTTTGAGTAAAATTCCGTGACAAAGACAAGCTTTGGACGGGAGAGATGTTTCAGTTCCAGCTCTGTTACCTTGAGATCTCAGAGAGCAGTAGGCATGTGGATTTGGAGGGTTGCATAACGCCACAGGCACAGCCAACTCTGCTTGAAAAAAGCAACCGGATAAACAACAGTTGATAGGAAGCATCATTAATATTCAGGAATAGCATAGTATGTTTTACTTGCATTTCCAGATACGATGGGTTAGACCTCATAGCAAATCTATGTACAAAGCGTTGTTGTGGCTCCCGTGGTCGAGTTTGTGCAGTACCAACACAAAATGAGAGTACAGTGACATTTGTAACACCCAGGGACTTTGTGTTCTGCTTCTCCTTTGGTGGGTTTCTGACAGTGTTTGGGCTGTGCTGCTTTCTGATGGTGCTCATGGCGTGCAGGAGCTGTTGCAATGCCATTAACAGAACATATTGACACCTTCAGTTGTCTGGCAAGGAGGTCTCTGAAAATTGTGGTAGAATACCCTTGTATGTATGATTTTAGCTGCATAATTTTAAATGATTAGTCCTGTCAATTGGAGAAGGGTCTCAGGGTTTCTCTTCTATTGCTATTAAGAGGAGTTTGAGCCTTTTGATCTGTTGTTTAACAGCTCAGCAAAGTACAAAGGATACTGCATGGAGAAAACCTTTGAGCTGCTTTTCTGGTCCCTCTTTTATAAATGACAATTCAAGGCAAATACTGTGCTGGATTTGGCAGAGTATCTTTGCAGTTTAAGGGCCTGTATGCTGTAGTGCACAACAGCTTTAATGCTGTGGAGAGCTGGGTATTTGGGCAAATGCAGCTTGCTTATTTAACTGTAAATCAAAGATAAAATCTATAGAATAACTGTAAAACCTAGTTACCGGACGATTTTATTTATTTCATGGTTATAAGAAAGTTCAGACTGGGAGGGATGTCAAGAGTTTACCAAGTCCAGAAGTTCTCCATAGGCAGGCTTCATTGAGGGGTGATCACAGGGAATGCTTTTGAGTGTACTGTGTAGGTAGTGCCTGTCACACCTCACACCCTCCACAGCCAGCACAGTATCTGTAGGAGTGTTCTTCATCTTCTACATGTGTTCCAATGAAAAATTTCTACTAATAAGGGAATGTCCTCGAATAGATTAGCACTGGAGGATTGTATGTCTGGGATGGTTTTTTTTCCCTTTCAGATGCTGGTTCCTGTTAAGATGTTCTGAGAGGACAGATGGTATTTTGTAATACCTTGCAGTTACTGGCATTCTGAACAAGGTGGACAGCATTTATCTCATTGGTTGCACTGACGAGTGTGTATTATTTTCACTTAATCATTTTACTGAATGCAGTTACTTCCCTCCTGCCTCCCCCCCAAATTCCCTCTATTTTCTGAGTGCCAAAAGTACTTTAATCCAACGGCTGAGAATCTAGTTTCTGCAATCACATTGCTATTCTGGAGTATAATTTCCCCCCTTTTATTTGTCAATTAAACCTCTTCCCCTTTCTGGCTAAAACTAACTGCTTGTTATTTTATGCTAGAAAAATAAATGCACATTTGCTCAGGAGTGTTCCTATGGTTCAGATTGTCCCTGAAATACCTTCTGAATGATCACTGAGAGATCAGCAAGGTGTGTGTTGGAGCAGCCCAAAGGTTGCATTGCTTTACTAGAGTAGTTTGAGAGCTGGAGGTCAAGGACTTCCCTCCTGTAACTTAGCACAGGGGAAAATGTGAGCCTCTGTTTTTGCTAGAGATATTCTTTGATCTGCTGGACTAGTGCTCCCGTGTGTTTGGGTCCTTTAACCTTATTTTCTCTTTGTATTCTGTGGCTGCTGAGGGCTGATAGATTTGCAGCACAGTGTGTTCCAAAGCGTGCAGAACCTGGCCCTGTCTTCAGCCAGCTGTCTGCTCCAAATGGAGACATCCGTTGTGTCCTGTGTGTAATTCATAAGTCTTACCTCATGAAAATTAAATTCTAAGAATTGCATACCAAAACATAATCAAACCAGTCCTGACACTGATTCTTTCAGGCTGTTTTAAAAGTGAGAGGATTGGTGTTTTCTGATGCA